TATGCTATCTGGCATCTTATTTGAAAATACGATGCGATGTGTAGTGGCGTTGATCAGGTGTTCAGGTGATTAGGCACGTATGTCAAGATCTAGGTTTTCAGACCTCGTTTCTACTGCAGCGCGTTAAAAAATTGAAATCGATGGGTAATAGTCGATTTATGTATCCACACCAGAAACTCTTGCACAAACTCTTTGGTGTCTCATGCTTGCCACAGTATAAGTTACTATAAAACTTTATAACAGAAGGAAAACGAAATTTTGGGACGTACGTATCGACAATGCGTTAAATAAACCTCTATAGATTAAACGTGTAATAATTTTTTTCAAGCTATTTACAACGCACGATGAGTGCCATTTTATGGCAGGGATTATGATGGCGTCAGTAGCTGTCTACAAATTTTGATTCAGTCCATCAGTGATCTCAAAAATGTGCTTCACCCACTATGTTCAATTGTGTCCACCAGCGCTATCCCTATAGGTTTAACTTCAAGTAAACGCATGAGTTTATTTTACACTCAAAATTGTAGAGCACGTACCCTGCATACTGAGACTAAGTTGCAAGTGGTCGTACTTTGTTAGTTACATACAAATTGGCTATAAAGTATTCATCCAGAATAAATATAGTATAAGTATCAAGCTTCTTTTCCAAAGTAATACACGCTATTATTATGACTATATAATAGTCAGCGATTACGCAAGCACCCAGCTGCTTCAACAGGCTCAATTTTCTTTGAGCCAATCACTATCATTATCCATCCCACCCAAGCAATACCCACTACTCATGTTTATGTCTTCTGGCTTTGAAAAAACGCCATACTTTTACGTAAACGCTTCCTTCTAAATCGTACCACATAACACAACCGAATGTACTGTCGATACCACTATTAGACTGTATGGAGCTTGTGTGTCGGAAAGCGCCCAAGCGTTCCAGTAAATGCCAGCAACCACTAACATGTGTACGAGCAGCTCTACGTACCTCGTCTCCCAATATCACGGCGCTTTCTCACGTTCTTGCTAGCATCTCAATGTATTTGGATTATTCTCGATATTATACGATTCCTAAAGCCTGTTCCAGAACCATTGTACACGCAAAATTGCACTTATTACAGCGTCTCGAGACCGCACAAATCTCAGCTAATTTCTTGTATCGTCAATGGGCTTTTGCTCGTGGTACAGCAAATGCTGCAGCACGTGGGGATCTTATGGTTATAGAGTGGTTATGTAAAGTTTACTTTCCTCAAGGAAGGGTTACGGATGCAGTCGAGATGGCGGCCAAAGCTGGTCATCTTCATGTATTGCAATGGTTACGGGCTAATCATCGCCAAGTCTTTTGGGGGGCCAATGAAATGCGAGCTGCAGCACAATATGATCGCGAGGCTGTTGTTAAATGGCTACATGCTCGCACAGCCCCACCTTTTGTTGGTATAAATGCTATTGAAATGGCTGCTAGGAATGGTAACTTAAAGCTGGTCAAATGGCTTCATAAGGAGCGAAGTCAATGGAGTGGATACGGTGCAGGCGAGGCAGCAGCTTGTGGTCATTTACGAGTGTATAAGTACATGATTAAAGGTCATTCCGTGCTTCGAGAAAGCGCTTTAAATGAAGCAGCAGCTAATGGACACTTGGAGGCAGTAAAAAAACTCATTCGACGGCAACCGTTACTTTTGACAACACGGACAACTACAGCCGCAGCAGAGAATGGGCATGTGCACATTTGTAAATGGCTCCATGGTAGGAAGTTTGACGGGAAATTTGCGCTATGGACCACAGCAGCAATGGACAAAGCGGCGACGAATGGACATTTGGAGATGGTTAAATGGCTCCATCAAAATCGATTTCAGGAGTCATGGAAGGCATGCACGCGTGCAGCAATGGATGGGGCAGCTCGAAATGGCCATATGGATGTGCTACAATGGCTAAGCAAACATCGTCATGAAGGTTGTACCATTCGAGCTATGGATGCTGCGGCAGCGAATGGCTACTTGGAAATTGTTCAATGGCTACATGAGAACCGAATGGAAGGCTGTTCCGAAGACGCAATGAATGCAGCGGCTGCAAATAATCAACTGCGAACGTTGCAGTGGCTTCATCGTAAAAGACGAGAAGGGTGCACTTCAGTGGCCATGGATAAAGCAGCTGGACATGGTCATTTAAAAGTGATTAAATGGCTTCATTTACATCGAATCGAAGGATGTACGAAAAATGCTATGGACAACGCGGCGGCCAATGGGCACTTGGAAGTTTTCCAATGGTTACATGAAAATCGAAATGAAGGATGTACAATGCAGGCCATGGATCGTGCTGCAGCTGGTGGTAATTTAGAGTTGGTCAAATGGTTACACACTAATCGAAAAGAAGGTTGTTCGTCGGCCGCTATGGACAATGCTGCTGCTAATGGATGGCTAGAAATTGTGCGTTGGTTGCATGCTCATCGAACTGAAGGCTGTACGACACGTGCGATGGATGAGGCTGCGGGAGAAGGCCATTTCGAAGTTATGTTGTTTTTGTTTGCTAACCGCAGCGAGGGATGTACGTGGCGAGCAGCTGAGAAAGCGACACGTGCTGGCCATTTGGAGATTTTACAATGGCTTTATGTGCATTATCCAGAACAGTTCGATCGAAGACGTGTGATTGCTGCTGCCAGTAGAGATGATTTCTATCTGATGGAATGGCTACACAGTCTTGGAATTTGGGTTACGACGTAGTGAAATCTATAAAGAAGAACCGCAATGAACGGACCCAAAGGACCAAACATGTCAAAAACTATCATTGTTAACACTACAAAATAATTCATTCCCTATTTGATGTTTGACGAAATTGTTATCGTTTTGCGTCAACTGCTGCTATGAATCAGCAACCAAATTTCTAGTTAGCATCTTGACAAATATATGATTACAGCAAGTCTAAGTTCTACCTTAGCCACCGGCTCCGACGTAACTGAAGTTGCTACAGATACCCCAAAACGAGCAACAAACTAGACGTAATATTTTTTTTGATTAATATACCCAGCTAACGATAGATGTATGCTGATAGGGTGGCTAACCTTGGATTTCATTGAGGTTGTATGTTCTCCCGCGACGGACAACTTTTACAGCGGGGCGACACCAGCACCTATTAATCCACGACCCTGAAGCTTTCTCTTAATCTCTGAACCCATGCCTGTCGTCCATACCTGATCAACCATGTTATTCCCATTTTGGCGAACCGTGCGCTCGTCTTGTCGATCACTGAATTGGTCAACCTCGGTATAGTTTATAGCATCGGAGTAGCTTTTAGCCTTGATTTGATAGACAGCCTTGGTCGCTTTCATGGCAGCGGTTGCCGCCTTCAACGCTGATCTTGCAGATTTTGCGTTATTACCCTTTATTGCTCGCGTCGCATCATCGTAAACTCCTTTGAGCTTTATCATCCTTTAGGAATGCGGCTTCTGACTCATCATGGAGTTTTTGCAAAGTGTCATCGCGATAATGGAGACCTCCAGAGGATTATATTCAAGCTGATGTATCTGTCGATTTCGTATTGTCGAGGATCGTTCGATTCAATAGCTGAAGATTAGCTTCGAGATTTGTTCTCAATGCTTATTTAACATTCTCCTAAACGTATCGCTCTAAAAAAATCTCCTAACCCCCGACTTTAGTACTGCAACAAAAGCAATCATTTCTTACTATCAACTTGATCCCACTTGTTCTCGACCCATATCCTTGAGCATTGCGCGCGTCCAAAGTACTTCTTGTGCGCACAAGCTTAGCACCATATACTCTGCTTCTGCGGAACTTAGTGCGACGGTTTTTTGTCACTTGGTGTGACGGTTCTCTGATACTTGGACTTGAACACAATCGGAGCTTTCCTATATCGATCAACACACGTGAGACAGACCGTCTGTCATTAGTTTGCTACCCCAGTCTACCACCGAAAAAGCTTCACTAATCACCATTCCAGTCCCTCCTTGGTAAATGATCCCGTGATGACGTGTCGAATGTAAGTAGCGTAGTACACGAATTGCGGCAATTTCAGGAATCTTGAGAAATCGAGACAGTTGTGTAACGATATATGCGATGACCGGCAGAGTGCAAGTTGTAATGTATAGCAGACATCCAATTAGTGAAAGGTATGCTCTTGACCGCATCTCTGAACGGTAAGCTTTTGTACTTCGTGAATGTGACGTTGACAGCTTGAGACCAGACGTACACGGATTGTCGACGTCCTTGGCGTCTTTCTGTCTAAATCGCTCAGTCACGACGCTTATGTACCGTGCCTACTTGATTATTAGCGTAGTAGCTGACCTGTCGTGGTTGATCTCCATGCCCAAGATGAATTTCGCCATACCGAGATCCTTGATTTTGAAAATACTTTTAGCATCCCATTGGCCTCTAGAATCTCGCTGCTCGTCTTGGCTGCAATGATCATATCATCGACATATAGACATACGTACACAAAACCTTCTTTCATTTCTTCATGTAGACGCATTGATCCGCTCCAAATCTTTAAAAATCGTTATCCTGAAGACGTGGTCGATTGTCTTGCTCCAAGCACTTCCAGCTTGCTTGAGTCCATATATAGCTTTGTTCAGCTGACATACAAATTTTCGAGCTCCCTTAACACCAATCAGAACTCGGAACGTCCCTGTAAACACGATCCAACAGCACACTATTGAAAAAGGCGGTGTCGACGTCCAGCAGCTCCATTTTGTAATCTAATACCGCACACACTGCGAATGCAACTCGAATTGAGTTCATGATGGCCACTGGAGAGTAAGTCTCGATGAAACCCATTTTGTATTTCTGCTTAAACCCTTTATCCACCAATCGTGCTTAGTAGCGCACAACACATCCATATTGGTCACGCTTCTTAGCAAAGTCCCAGCGGCGTCCAATCGTACATCCGACTGATTCTCGTGGAATGAGTGTCCATGTTCTCTTCTGGCAATGCGATTTTAATTTGGTGTCCATCGTTTATCGCCAATGTTCTGCTTCGTCACTAGTCATTGCCTGCACATACGTGGTAGGCAAGTCCGACTCTTCACCAACACTTACAGCGTAAGCGAGAACAGC